CCCCTCGCGCCCGCCCCCCGCGCCGCGCCCCCCCCCCCCCCCCCCCCCCCCCCCCCCTCTCTCTCTCTCAGGTGATCTGCTCCTCCTGGTAGCTGGAGGTGGAGATGGAGCCGTAGGGATCCACCACAGTCTGGGCACAGCGCACCACCGTCACCAGCAGAAAGAAACACAGGAGGAAGAGGAAGAAGAGAGCGAAGCCCAGGTCCACGTCCACCTCAAACTGTGGTGCGGCGTGAGGAGCCTGGTCCATGTGGGCGATGGCGACTGCTGATCCTTCTTTCACTGTTTTCTTTGTCAGCTCAGCACCACCACTCTGGGAGAAGGGCAGGCGTGTGCATGGCTGCTCTTGAGATGACAGTGATTAGGCTACTTGATGCCAGAAATACAAATCAGAAAAACATACAAAGATTAATAAAGAAATTACAGCTTCTGAATGCAGAGACATCACAGAAGTCCTGTTACTTAAAAAGCATGGTCCTCAGCATCCTGGCGGGTTAGTATCTATGTCCCTAGTTTGATTCTGGTCAGGGACTTTTGTTGCATTTCATCTCTCACTTCTTCTTTTCTTTAAAGTTGTAATTAACAACTACAGATTCATCTTCAGATTCCTTTCTTGAATAAATGATTCATCATTTTGTCTGTAAAATTACCAGCAGAACATCCTGGAAAGATATTGTCTCTATATTGCTTGTTTTTGTGCAATCAACAGTCCAAACCCCAAACAGTTTTGCATCACTATCACATTAAACAAAGAACAGTTCAAATGCTCAATTTATAGGACGTGGAACCAGAGAATGTTTGATATTTTCGCTTGAAAAATGACTTAAATGCTTAATTGATTATCAAAATATGTGCTTTATACCTTTTTTGTCAAGTTTACCCTTAGATTAATCCACTAATCTTTTTAAATCTACTGCTTTTATATTCGTCAAGTTAACACACCCATAACATATTTTTCTGTCTGTTTGCATATTTACAGGAATACAGTAAAGCTTTTCAGGTTTTAATAAAACAGATAGATTAGATCACAAAATAAATGATGGCTTGATGGTGAGAAACAATTATCTCTTATACATTTGAAATGTGTTTAAAGACACATTCAGCATTACCACAGGGTCATGAAGTAGTTTTAATCACTGTAACAGCTGACAGCGGCACATGATTTTAAAGAGAACCAGATTAGTGAAAACTGATGAAACATACTATCACTTTATTTTACAGATAAGCTGTCAAACTCACCATTCTGCATTGTCATCATGTGTTTGTTGCTGCAGTCTCATCCAAAGCTTTTAAAAGCTTTCATAGCATCTCCGCTGGGCTCCCTCTGAGGTTCCTCATTACTCCAGTTACACAAGACAGTCATCGGTTACCAAAGACTTTACTGTCCCCCTCCTCTCATGATCATCACAGGAAAAATGAGCAGAGTATGTGTGAGCCTTACACACACACACACACACACACACACGCACATGTGAGACACCCAAGCATACACTTGCACCTTCCAACCTCCCCCTGGCATGTAAAGCCTTTATTAATACTTAAACAGGAATTGAATAACAGTCTACACAGTTCACAAGTGAATCAAACACCCCAGCGCCTTTGTTCTCCTGTCACAAGGACCTCCATAGCTGTCACCAATTAGACTTCACACCACTAGAACTCAAGCACCTTAGGCGACACTGAGCTTATTCATTACACACGGCTGAAAAGGGAACAGAGGAAGGAGGGGAAACGTAATGTGAAAGGAACGGTAAAGATTTAAAGAGGAGGAGGAAGACTGGACACAGAAGGGGGGGTGTTAAGGAAAGCTCAGACGTCGGAACAGCAGAAAAAGGAGACGCATTAGCAATTAAATTACAGAGCCAGATGCGAGAGCAGGGTGGAAATTGACCCTGCCTCTTTAGAGCGGAGATTGTTACAGTGAGGCTGCCAGTGACAAGAACAGCGTGGAGGCACCAGGGTAAAGTGATCCCGCTCCATATGCAATTAGCCAAGAAGGTCTTTTCGGCTGAAGCCAAAACTACTGTAGAGGAAAGTGGTAGAGGAAAGGAGGAAGAAACGAGAACTGGTTTCTTTTTAGGATGGATGGAAAAAGAAGTTGATGAACTCTCTCAAACTTTCAAGCTGGATGAAGACCAACTGCTCCACTCAGGATGATTATAAAAAGCATTCGAGACATGTTTGGCAGCAGTGGGCCTCCCAAAAGTGTGCCAGCCAGGTGCTGCTCAGCGTGTCACCACACTGTGCCATCTGATATTATAATCGCTCCATGGTGCCTTCAGGGCCACTCTACACCAGCGGAAGCTATGACTGATTGATGGTGCTCATGCCAGACTGTGTTTGCTCCACTTCCGCAGTGACGGAGTTACTCCAAGACGGTGCGTTTATGTTGGCGTCGCCAATGAGAGGCGCATTTATCAGTTCCTGAATTATAGGCTGTAGCCTTTCACTTGAAATGTGCATTACCCTTTAGACACCCAACAGACATAACCGGAACTAAAAAGTCCTTAGTATTTAGAGTAAAACAAAAAAGTCCACTTTATAACCGCATTATGACTTCAGCCTTTTCTGGTTTTAAAGAATTAAATTGCTATAGTGATGTTTTAATCACTTAGTTCGTTGACATAAAATACTCAATTCACCATTTTAGTCATTTATATCAAGCAAAATGCTAAACTTATTCTGGCTCCAGCTTTTTAAATCATGTTTTTTTGTTTTAAACCATTGTGAATCTGTATTTTGGGGTTTTGGACTAGTGGTCAGACAAAACAAGCAAAAGTTTCACTAGTGTCTGACATTTTAACGTCGAAACAAATTATTTAACATAAAAACAACAATCAGATGTTGACAATGAAATCACCAGTAGCAGCCCTTAGTTGTTGACAAAGATTGCATCTCCTTCATTATTAAGAGGAATTAACACTTTTTTCATCCTTTATTTTCTCAGTAAATCAATTGGTTAAAAAAGCAAACCTGGATTTCCTGAAGCACTGATAATGACGAACGTTAAAATTGTCATTTCAGATCTTGGCGGAGAAAAGAAAACCGTAAAAGACAGAATTGTTATCCACAATTATCTTTATCATCATTGTCATTATGTTACATCTCAGCAACATGTAATGCAGATTAAAAACCATTTCTGTTGAAGCAAAGCTCTTTAGAGGGAGCTGCAGGTGATTGGTTGTCGTGAGCCGATGCAGGAAAGTTAGAGGCCCAGAGCGTTACAGTGCATGGAGTGTTGGATGTGATGGGGCACAAAGACAGCAGAAATAAAGACAAATGGGAGAGAAATAACATCTTTTTTCACAATAAACACTTGAAATGATGAAGGCACTTGCAAATCACAAGGTAGTAAATAATGTAAACCATACTTTGGTGTTTCATTTTTACATCTTTACTTCTTTACTTAAGATTTCATTCAACTTATTTTCTTTTTACAAAATGTACCAAAACACTGGCAACGAGAAACATCTTGGGTAGATAATAACAAGAATAAATATGACAAAAATTTAAATCATACCCTCTAAACTAAAAAGGCAATCTGGTTTGAATTGACATCAAACATTATTACTAAACTTGTTTACAAGATATTTAGCCAAGGATCTGTAGAGGGAACCATAAAGTGCATCTTTGGATGGATGGGAAAAAACAACACTGAATGGAAATGCTCGACTCTTTCAGCCTATAAAGAATTCATAAACAGTTACCGATTGGTTTGGGATACAAACTGCTCCCAAATTTAAACCATTGACTAGACTGAAAACAAATAAAACAAAACAAAATAAAATCATACAACTAAAAACCATATTAAACATAAACAAAACATTTAAAATGATCTCGGCGCGTTCTGCTTCTCAAAAATTGCAAATCATTCAAGACAAACTTCCATTTAAGGCACATTTCAACACGCAATGCAGATGTAGCACCTTATCGCACGTTTCTCAGACTGTTAAAAACATTATTTACCTCAGATTATTTTGTTTTAAACATCCAAACAAATGAAATTTAGAAAAAAAACAAAATGACAAACTGGCAGCTGCAATAACTGAATCTCACAAATTTGTTATTAACCGTAAGGAAATAGACTTAAATCAGCGTATGGTCCATGAAAAGACATCACCTTGGATCTCCTCACCATGCCACTGACTTCAGCGTGGTTATTTAGACCAAAATTCAGTCAGGTTGATGGGCGCTAATACTCGGAAGAGTTTTAACTGACTGTGCAGGAAGGGAGTGCCCGTCCTAACCACAGCAGCTCTTTAAAACACTCCCTTGCACAAAACATAAAGCTAGATTTGGCATCTGGCAACTCGGTCAGCAGCACAAAATCTTAGCATAAAGCAAAAGGAGACAAGAGAGGTGAGAAAAGAGGAGAAGGTGTGAGCGTGTAATGAGATGACCACTCTGCTGCTTAGGTGCTAAGCAGATCATTGTGGTTCTGCACCACAGTCTTCGTCTCCCCATTTAAGTTAATGTAGTCCACAAAGAAGTGAAATGATCCACTTTGGACTACTAGGGTTTCAGAAAGGAGGGTAAAGAAATGAGTAGGTGTGTGTGTGTGTGTGTGTGTGTGTGTGTGTGTGTGTGTGTGTGTGTGTGTGTGCTGCCGCCTGTTGCACTGTCAACATGCCACGCTCCCGTTCTTTGGCTTTCAGGTGAGGGCCACATGTGAGGGCCCATCATCACTCCTCACGCAGCCTCATCTCCAGCGCTCACAGTCCAATCAGTCCGCCTTACTGTGATTGTTGTTCAGGAGAGTGTGGCCGTTCTGCACGTGGCCGTTCTGAAACTTTCCCCTCTGCTCGTGAGCATGGTCTTCATCTTCCGACTCGGTCTCCTCTTTATCGCTCCGCTCGTCCTCGACAATTTCCTATTGGGTAAAAGAAGACACAACAGGTGTACAGTAGCTGCTTTCAGGTGAACGTGCTATGTGGCAGAACGAGCGAAAGTGGCAGTTCGTACGTTGCATGGCAGGAACTTGACGACCATGCGCACGATGAGCACTGCCCAGAAGATGTGCAGAGCCTGCAGCACGAGCATTAGCCCGTTGAAGAAGTAGAAGCCGAGGAAGGGGCGGTAGAGGGTCAGGGGGTACACACCCGTCGTATATATGATCCTGGACGAGAGGACAAAGGCAGAACAGAGAGTCCAGTCAGAGCCACCTACAGTCTCCATCAAAAGCCCATTGAGAGGAGCCAGAACTGTACACAATGTGTCCGTTGTACATTTCCATTAATTTGTTGCCCTAGCTTTAAGCTAATTCATGACATCTCTGCAAAAGGAATCAGTGCATGTTTCCATCAGCTACCTGTATGCTAACATAGTCAAGAGGCCACGATCAAACTGCATACTTAAAATAGAGCAGAAGTAACTCATCATGGCATTTCATTGCAGGTCAATGGCATTTTTGTTTTCTTAATGAATGTTTTTTTTCTCCTTTGAGCTGCTATTGTGATAGAGGGATGGGGGGGTGACTTTGTTGTATGAACATCCACCCCACGGTTTTCTGAATAGTGTCAGCTTAACATGAATGTGTCAATCTTAAATATTATAAAGGATAATGCTGGTATTATTCTATATTTTTCATAATACCAGCTAAAATGTCATATACATATATATATATATATATAGATAGATATGCCAGCCTTTCCACGAATAAAAGCCTTTTTGAGATATGTCATTTTTTTCTTCAAATTCCTGCCTGTAAATCACATATTTGAAAGAATGTGTGTCAAAATGTTGCACACATTTCTCAAATGTTCCCATCATACAGTAAAGTCAGTGACTAACACGGTGAATCCTGTAACATCGTTCTTACCAGAAGGGGAGGATTACGAGGCGGGAGATAATGAAAACTGCAGCGAACACGGTGAAGATGAAGTTGCAGGTTTTCCTCCAACCTGCATAGTTGAACATTTTGGCTGACTGCAATGAAAGGCAGAGAGATCAGAGTATCACCGGTTCATACATTCTCCTCTAGAGGGCACTCCAGGGAGGGCAGCAAAAGTGTTGCTTTAATGGTGTGTACTGCTGTGTGATTGTAATTAAATTCTAAATAAAAAGACACTTTCCCCGTTATTGGCATGTGGAAAAACACTAACAATTCATTAAATTATTTATATTGACTAAAAAAAACAAAACAAAACAAATATGTGTAAAATAAAAACTCATTCAGGCCAACTTTTATGAGTGAAACACCCCTTCTTTCTGTCATATTAGCATGTTCTCATACCTCCATGAAATAGTCGGAGGCATCATGCACCAACATGATCAAAGTCCCTGCCCGGATGTAGTTCACCATCCAGGAGAAACTGATGAGGGAAATGGTGGCTACATGGTGAATTATCTGCTCTTTGAAATCCTGGAGAGAGAAAAAGGGACAGGGGGACAGAGAGAGACAGACAGAGGGACAGAGAGAGACAGAGAGGGTTTAAAGGCAAAAATCAAAACCCATTTGGTCACTTATTGATCGAGCTGTAGACATTGGTCACTGATCGACCAGGGCGTGTTCTGATTGATTGATGCTGGATTTACAAATGATTAACACTGCACATTGCAGATTATATGGCTTCAAGGCTATAAAGAGAAACTAAATCCTCACATTAGATGTTGGATTTCAACACAGGGGATCGCTGGTAAAGTCCAGAAAACTGTTGTTTTGGTTTAACAGATTAGTTCCTCGTATTTGGTGAGCTTGAGTTAGAAAACAAGAGGTGGCACAGAGGTGGCGGGCTCGAAGGTCGGCCACCTTTCACAACAGCGCTTAAGACCTGTGGACAAAGCGGTGCAGCCGTCTCTCCGCGGTGTGATTTCACCACACAGAGCCGGTCACACATTAACCCACAGAGTGCCTCCTGATGCAACTTCCCCCGACTGGAGAGACAGTTTAGTTTTGTTGCTCAATCACTTCAACTTTACCAAACTGATGAAGTTGAGTTGAACATTATGTATAATGTTCCGAACGCTGACAGCTCCACTCAGTACGATGCATAAAGTCAGGTCCTCTTAATGGGGAAAATCAATATCCAAACCTCAAAATACACTGCCAACACAACAGGTCATTCTCATTATGTCATGCACTCTGAGAGCAATCGCTCCTGATGGAAGGTTTCTGAGGGGCTGTAAAGATGCAAACACGGGATAACAAAGCTTAAGATGCAGCTCACTTACCTTACGTTTAACATCCGTCGCTACGCTAAAAACCAGCGAGACATAGAAGCCTAGTTCGATCATGTAGTACCAGTACTGTGAAGGCAACAGTGGCTGGAAGAAAACAGGAAGAACAAAGCTGTTAGATAGAGTTATTAGTTGCATCATATTCTATTAGTTCAGTCATTTGCTAAACAAGAGTAAGGTTCTGCAATTCCCGTGCTCTCTCGGCTTGTTTAAATTTAGAATAAATGTGAAAATGATTTGAATCTAAACTCAATGAAAAGATGTTCCAGGTTATTGTACTGACATACCATTTTCGGGAAGTCATCCCACACCTTCTTCATATCATACAACCATGGTTTCTGAGGAGAAGTGGATACTCAATATTAATGAGGGTTTAAGTGTCCCACACAGCACCACGAGCACAAACAGCAAACTAGAACAAAGTGGAAAACAGCGGTTTTGTGGCATCAACCACAGTTACAATGCCAACATACAACTTCCTACTTTTGTTTGTATGAAGCAAACAGATCCCAACAAGTCAGGGAGACAAAAGTTGCTGGTAGAACAATAATATGTTTCAAGTTATTGACTAGTGTATGACTATTACACGAGATGATTTCACAAAGTGACACGTAGTGATTTTCTTTCGTGATTTTCTTTCAGATTCTGACAGTACTCACGTCAATAAGGACCGCCAGGCCAGCAAAGAAAGCAACAAGGTAAAACGTAAATCTCCAACTGTAAGAGAACACACAGCGGTCTCAGAAATCCAATGTGGGGTTATGAGAGACAGATGAGGACGATACAGTTCTTTTACTTTATATCACAAGGAAAAGATGAACGGACTAACATTTTAAAACCACATGTCACAGACAAAGTGAAAACCATAATCACTACAAACACTTCACTGGAGTTTGAACCTCAACAAACTCAATACTGAGTCGCATTGGGCAGAAAATAAATCCCTTTGATCAATGCGTTTTACAGTTTGCAGCGTTTTCCTGCTTGAACGCACAGCATGCATCCTCCTATCCTTGTTTTGCAACAAAAAAAATACTTGGGTGCGGTGTGTCAAAGGGTTTTTTTTTTAGTTGCTGCTTTCACACCACCGTCAAAAGAGCTAAACGCTCTAAATCACCTCATGACCCCTGAAGTCTAACCTGTGAGCCCTTGACGGTATCCTGACCCCGAGCTGGCGAAACGCTGCTTTAAAGAATCTGGCATTCGTAAAAGCAGGTCATGACAATGGTTGTTAATAATTAACCATTTAATCGTTAACCGACAAAAGTTATTTTGACACATTAATGCTATCCGTCCAAAAATATATAAAACGATAGCCGGTCCGCCTTCAGTGAGCCTGGGCCCAGAAAGACATTGTGTCATTGTGACTTCACTGTTCGCGGTCTCGTGCAATGTTCAATCAAAACAATTCATGAAATAGAATCAGGCCATTACATGCACACAGATTTCAATGAAAGACAGACAATGGGATTGGGGGTGTATTGTGTGGCGGAGGATGTTTAGCTACCATGCTTCCCGAAACTTTTTGAGCTTGTTGGGTCTGTCCTGGTTTCTCCGCCGCCTGAACCACCTCTGGACCTGTCGCACTGAACGGTCGGTGTGTTTGCTTAAACTCTCTACGGAGCTCTAAGAACAAAAAAGCAGGACAAGGAAGGAAGAGTCAGCACCGTCTTTAATGTCTGGAGTCAGAAAATGATGAGCGGTTACACGAGGCTTGGGGTTTGAAGATCTAGGATATTTCATGTTGTCTCTCTCATCCATTTACGCCTCAAACATCTCTGAATTCTGTGATTAGGCTCAAGCTGTGCTATTGCCAGAGGAGACACGGTATGTATGAAGCAGTGCTAGTTTCCTAAAGTAGGCAAGATCCTCACCTGTGTGGGTTGCTTTGATGTGTTGCAGAAATAGGACTCCAGGACGGGATTTGGAGGAGCATGAACACGCTGCTTGTCAGTCACTCCCAACAGGGAGGCGAGAGGAGTCGCTACCGCCCTGGAGAGAGAAAAACAGAGCTTTAAATGTCAGCTCACATTTGTCAGGAAGAAACATGCAAGTCAGAAAGGTAGAGAGGCAGATTAACGGGCAAACAACACTGTGACAAATCTTAAAAAACAGTCAGCGCTGGAGACGACCCACCTCTCAAATATCTGTCTGCAGACCAGGAAGCACAGTGCGATGGGTATAGTAACCCACAGGTCCTGCATTTTAGGGAAAATCTGTCCATCATGGTCCTTCAGGTCAGCCCAGCCGTGGCCTTCAGGAAACCAAATCCAGTCCGCCCATATCTGCTCACGAAGCCGGGACAACATCCTAAAAAGATGGAACGGGGGGAGAAAAAGGATTTGTGTTTTTTTTCGTATCATGTAAAAGGAAATTAAGACCGGTAATAAAAAAAAGGTTTCGTCTGCCTGGTGATCTCCATTCAGATTTTCCCCATTTGATAAATATAACAACTCACTCTCAGCTGTGACAATATCCTGAGAGAAGGAAGAGGAAACAGAGAGGAATGAGTATTGATTGGAGGTGATGAATCTCAGTGGGCATCTGCTACAGGCGCCGTATCTGGGCACTTCCTGTTCCAGATGAAGAGGAATGATGAAGTTCTTTTTTTTTTTTTGGCTATGCTGCACACAATGTAATCAGAAAGCCCATGAGCATTTTATTAGGCCCTCTAAACCAGCCTGCAGCTTGGCACCAAGTCCCATTCCTTGATAAATTCCTGCAGCTGGATGACATATTTACTCAGACATGTGTCTGAAATCACTCCGTGTATAATAAACGCTCAACGGTGACCTTGATGGGGAGCAGTAAACAGCTGCTGAACAGCTGAAAAAAAGGGGCCTTAGAAGCTAACAAAAAACTGTAATTATGTCTTTTTACCTGATTTAATGATTTCTCACACGCTGCATCATCGGGTCAAAATTCAACTTTGACCAATATTTATGACAAAATACCTGTCAGCTGTACCTTGGGTTTATCTCTAATTAGCAAACGTTATCTTTTAGGGTAATTTAAGGTTCCTAAGTACAGCCTCACGCTTGTTTATTCCTTTGTTACCGAGAGTGCAGAAAGATCTGCAATCAAACGACCGAAGATGACATTAGTGATGCTATAATCACTGGCAACTCCTCAATCGTACATTAAGTCACATGTGACCTTTTACAATGTCGGATCAGCTCATTTTGAGTCTGATCATCAGATCACGTCACATTGCCCCCGTATCCCCCTTTTTCAGTAAAAGTTTTGTGTCTTTAGCATGACCGTCTTTCTGGGGCAAATCATTTAAGAGGGGAAATTCTGCTTGTCACACATTTCCTAACAGATCTGTTAGTAATGAGTGTGGGTGTGTGGACTTCAACCCGTTATAAGCTCACCACGAATGCACAGTAACTCATGCAGGCTGCCTTTTGTCAGCAGAGGAGTTCCACTTCGACAGGATTCTCCTCAACCTTGAAACCACAGCGGAGATATGTCGACGTCTCCTATCTTTGGAAGTTAATCAGTGTGGGGATGTTGGTGAACCCGCTGCCTCCTGTGTCACCTCATGTCAGCGATCTACCATAAGCTCTTACTTCTATTCCACAAAACTGTCAAATTGAACATGTCTTAACTTGACTTCATGTGTCCAATCATCACGCTTAGATGACAGAAGACCCCGTTAACTCTTTTGAATGCGTCAAAGAGAACGGGCTCTCTGTGAATAGTGTTAAAGTATGTTAATGAGTAGAAGTTTTGTATTCAGTCCTGGAGTGAATTATGGGATTTGGGTAAACAAACAGATTTTTTCTTTTCTGTCTAACAGGAGGGGAACTGGAAACCACCCATTGGGGCTGCAAAAGCTCTCAGGTGTACATCCCACTTCTTACATGCAGAGTACTTATTTGCCTGTAGCTGAGCTAAAACGTTCACTATCATTGCATGTGACAGCAGATGAAGATTCCCCAAACCGCAGCAACCAGAAGTAAAGTGTGCACAGGTTATAACGCAGTAAATATCACTGTTTTGCGAGATGTTGAAGCAGCACCAGCCAGAAATGTACATTATCTAACAGCTGCTGCTTTTAGTTTACAGAAGAACAGGTCAGGCACCAGTGGTTTAGCAGCTGGAACTGCTGCAAGCTAAAGTAAACTTCCATTTAATTTAGTCAACCAAGCTGTGTTAACGTATCATCCAGTATGAAGAGTAACAAATAGGCAGGGCTGCCCCCTCAGAGTCGATTGCTTTGGTCGAATGACTTATTTGACTTATTTTAAAGAAACCTAGATTTAAAGTGGTGCTTTTGTGCGATTCTTTGTTGTTTTACAGATCTGTTTATTGTATCAACTAATCGATTAGTCTGTTGACTAAAGAATGTCTTTGGTCGAGGACAACCCTACAAACAAGTAAGACTTGTAGACTGGTGCAAACAGCTTAGCATAGACCTGCAAATGAATCACATTCTGGACTATGTTTTTAAAAAGGGGAAAAAGCTATTTCTGAACATTTATGCTATTCCACTTGGAAACGAAACATCAGGCATGTGCACACTATTAGTAAAGCAATTACTGCACTCTGTATTAATTGGCTTGTTGTACTGTCCCTCATATGTTCTCTGGCATTATCAGCTAATCCATTATCATTACCCGCCACTCAGCTAGTGCATGCACATCTCCACATTTTCATGACGGTGCTTGGAGAGACCAAAGTGCACTGTGCCACTGATGGTACAATGTCAGGGAACAGGAGTGGTGTTTATGGAAAGCCACCAAGAAGAGTGACTTTGTCTTAATTATGTTAATTCACATTTATTTTCTCCAATCTCAGCAACAGTATGTACTGTACTAGAAAGACTTAATAAACTCACTGCTGGCCATCTACAGTCCATCCTTGAGCAATGTCTTGACTGATAACTATGCTTCAAATAGATATATTTGTTTTCCTATCTTAGCAATAAACATCTGTTTAGCTGAAGGACTAACAAGACTCAGATTTAAATCATAATGGTCAAATTCTGTGCACAGAGGCCGAGATATCCTGACTGTTCCCTAGTATGAGTCAAGTCTGTGGTTAACACAAGCTTCAGAGATTTTAACGTTTTGTTCGAGGACATAAAACGTCTCAGTAAATATCCCTCTCGTGAATTTTACGTCTTTAAAAAGGCGGTTGCTAAATAAGACTACAACACATCAGCACGTCGTCTAGTCCGCCTTTTCGGCCTCGTTGTGGACACTCGTGCTCACGCACCTGTGATGTAGTTCGTCTATAGCATAACGTCACACAACACTTTTTTACTTCTGCCGATCCACGCTTCAGAAATCCTAAAAGTGGTGTTTATTTGTGAACATTATCTTGCCAAGGAAACTTGTTTGCTTTAGAGTTTATTTTCTGCAATAGTTCAAACTCCAGTGGAAATACACCGTTGCATGACGGTATGATGCAAACTACCGCGGATGGCCCACAAAAACATCTCATCCCTGCACCACTCTATGCCCGCTTCTTCTCTACACCCACAGTTTCCTGTGAAATAGGTCGAATGTGTGTTTTTTGAGCATGGGGTGATGCAATAGCTGACAATACGTTCACACAACTAAACCTGGGGGTTAAAGTGGTGGTAATGCACCAAGATATGCAATTATGAAGCAGCTAAATAGATTTTGGATAGATGTGCATAACTCTGCAGGTTTCATAATGTTCCAAAAAAATTACAAGACGCACCTTTAAAGTGTTAAAGCCGCAAGTCCAGGCAAGATAGCCCAGGCCTGGAATTTTCAGCCTTTGGAAAGCTCTGTCCCGAGGCACAAACATAACAGTAGTACTCCTCAGGAGAGGTAAACCACACTGCATGTGTAAACACGAGTGGAATGGGACTTTAACAAGGGGATCTGTATGATGTTGGTTTTCTTTCTTTAATAAAACCTTGAAGGATTATTCCTCTTGTTGTACAGAGAGGTTAATAAGATCAGACTGACTTGACTACAGCAGGACACAAAAAGGACTCGTATCTAATATCTAAAACAACGTCAGACAGACAGCGTCCTTCAGCCTTTGTATGATTTCAACTTCAGGGTTGTTGTCCCAATTTACAACTCAGTAGTTAAGTCGGTCACACGGCCTCCTACGCTGTTTGCGTAAACTCTTGCAGGGAGTGGCTGAGTGCGCATGAATGGCGCAAGCGGGGAGTCTCCCGGACATAGCGGAACAGACTGCCTGACTCAGTGAGATGGAGCTTTGAAGGGGAAGAAAAAAAAAAAAAAAAAAAAAAAAAAAAAAAAAAAAAAAAAAAAAAAAGTTTCCCCAAACACTGTCCCAACAGTCGTCCACTAACTCACGTTGTATGCTTTAGTTTCACGGGAGGGGCACGTGTACTCGTTATGTTGTGTTACAAGTGTCAACAACATAACGCAGTGGCAACTCTTCTTGGCGACATCTGCAGTTTACGTTGGAAAACTTTTTAGCGCATTCACAACTTGCACCACAACACGATATACACGCCGTTTATCTGTTGCACACAACTTCTGTATTTCCTCGCGGGGCGACCTGTGCTCCGCTGGGTTTTTTTTAGTGTGGGACGCTTTCACGACCTTCCGTTAATCGCGGTTGTTCCGAAACAAACACCGCCGACGCCAGGACAAGGCCTGTTAGCTCAACTCTGATGAGCGAGTCGGACGTCTGCCAACAGCTGAATCCGACGGAGCTTCAGTCAACGTTAGAGCATGTCAGCGAAGTTGAACGCGTAACGTTGTGCTCCGGTTAAACTTCACATCAACCCTCCAGAGAGGAAGACCCTCCCGTGTCCGTGTAACACATAGCAGCTTAACTGCGTTTAAGTAGCGTGCACCGACGCTGTAACAGCCTCCAGTGACACGTCCGTGGTGTAACGTGAGCTAACGGTGCAGCAGACTCACCTCACTGTATCCGGTAATGCTCTTAAAATGTCTCCTCTCTCCCGCAGCTGCTGCTCGTCCTCTGTTCCGGTTGTCGCGGAGGGGATTTCATGTAGCGTTAGTTCTGGCCATCAAAAAAACCACTCTCCAACTTGTCGGTCGTTAACTGAGCTGCAAAACCCCCTTTTGTCTTCCTTCTTCCCGACAACCTCAGGTTTGCCACATTCTAACTGTGTCGCACTTTCTCGCGAAAACACTTTTGTCCACCGAGGACAAATGCTTGTCACTTTTCCGTCCTATCAAAGTAATCTCAGTGGACCTCGGCTTGTTGCCCTTAGGCCGGGTCGTTCAATTGGTCGGTTATAGTGGATATTAGGGTAGTATGTTAGGATAGGACCAGGGGGGAGGGGCTTAAAGTGACGTGAGCCTTTACGATGTATGAGGGGTGGTTAGTGCCACGAGAGGGCGGCTGACGAGGAAAGACATGTCCTCCAGTGGAAAGAGTGGAATTAATATTTTGGAATTACTACAAATGTGTAATGTATACTGGATGTTGTGTTCACCCATTAACATACTCGCTTATCATTTACCTCAATGTTACTGCAGAAATAACCTGACTGTAGTCAAGTACAGGACCTGATATAATTAGTTGAAATACAACAAGTGAGAATAATTACGTCATTTTTGTGAGCTATTCCTTATTAGAATTGTTTATGGCAGCAGGTTTTTGAAGCAGATTTTATTTGCCAGGCCTGGGAGAGAAGGCAGAAGGTTTTGTTTAAGATCGAGCGGTGAAGTAACCGCTGTACTTTTTTATTGAATTAAAATTAGTGAAATGTGATTCCACTGCAGCTGTACTTTTGGTATCTTATAAACCCACGAGGGTCGGGCATGTTATAAATATAAATCTATCTATCTATTTTCAAGTCGTGTTTAGCCAGGCAGTTGTGCTCGTTGCCATGACTCAAGTTGAACAAGGCTTCAATTATATGTCGTGAATCCCTTTCAAATATGGTGTCACTGTTTTAAAAAAATGTGTTAAGCACATTGAATTTAGGTTGCCAGAGGTTTGATGAAGACCTCTAGATGGCACAGAGGACATGTTCATGTAATAAGCATAATCATCCTTGTTTTCTGTCTTCTGTGCCCATTTTTTTTGGAAAGCTGCCCAGTCCAAATACATTTGACCTTACCTAGATGGCCTAATTAATCAATGTGCTACTTTCTTGAGCCTACTCTACATATTGTTCTTTTTTTTCATCAGCATCATTATGATTTAAAAGGTGAACTTTCAATGTAATAAATAAAAATACATTGCAAGTGTCTTAACCATGTAGCTATTCCTATCGTTCCCATTGTGTAAATGCACAATTTTTGTTATCTTCTTCTTGCTCTACTGAACATTGTTGTTTGGTCATATCTATACTGAAAGTGAAGAGTGTCTCTAAGTGGTTTACTTAGCCCACACAAAGGTGCTGTATACAAGATTAGGAGCATGATGACTGTCTCTCAACAGCTCTCAACATGGCGACGGCTGTTCCAGTAGCTCGCAGCTAACAGCGCTAACAGAGCAAACAACGGCAACAGGGCTGACGGAGCTAAAAGTGTTTACCTGAGTGACAACCTGAGGTTGAGTGCTATGCTTCCACGACATCGTGACGGCGTTATCAGCTGTAACCACTGTATAACCTGAGGGGCACGCTCACATGCAATAAAAGCACGCGTGGCCACCTCTACTATGTAAACAAAGAATGGAGAAGTTCGGATTACAACACAAACAGAGGGAGACTTCATTCATTTGACTGTATGATCTGTGTATGATGGACGGACTTTATTTGCATAAAGTTGAGGTAAAGTCAGAATTATGCAAATTCTGATTCGGCAAATGGTCAGTCAACTCGCCGCGTCGTCTATCGTGCAGCGTAGGGCCGACTCTTCTGCTCTCCATAGAATTTAATAGGATCCGTCAACTTCACACAACGGTTTTGGTTGTATCTCCACCTATACCCTGTCATGTATCTGGCTTATATTTTGCAACATAAGTTATAATAGTATATCATCAAGCTAAAGTCTTTTGCAGCTGTTTTCCTCATCAGATAACAGATTCCCTCTCCTCATCCTGGTATCTGTTTATGCTATTAATTACCCTTCATACTTTCATGCATGCCAAAGGAGGCCGAGACATGCTTGGACGGGTCCAAACCAAACAGCTGCTTGCAGAAGGACTCAGTGCACGCCCGAATGTGGTGACAGACACCTCAGCCTTTTCCATCCTCTCCATACCTGACCTGGATATTTTTGCATGCTGTGTCATCAATAACTCATGGCCAAGGTTGGGTTATCAATCATTTAACATCATTGTGTGACATTATAATGGACATTTTGTACAGACTTGTAATTATACTGCACTTCAAGTAGCAACAATAAATCAGCAAAAATAGTTTTCTTCCTGTTCCTTGGTAAAGTTGGTCCACAGTTTCACATGCAACCAACACAGGAGGCCAGATGTTTTCCACTTTGCGCAATACTTCCTCAGGCCTATAGAGAGCAGCAAACACCCCTGGATAGCTCATTTATGATCCAACACCCAAACTTTGACACAACCATCGTCTATTCTCTCATCTCTTCTAACATTGTTGATTCATCATGCAGAGGAAAGATGAGATTTTTTTGGTAAATCACATGATGTGAACAGACACACATTTTAATTCTAAATTGTACTTTATTTTCTTTTAAAGACATATGTTTTAAAACAGCGATTGTAGAGAATAAATAAAGAAACATTATGTTGTTATTTTTTTTTTACTTCCATAGGTACATTTATGCAATTAAAAACTCTATAATAAGTGTGTTCATTGTCTTGAAGACCACAGAAATCCTCTTTTTTTTTCTTCTTCTTAAATTAAAAAAAGAAATTGTCACATCCCCCACCAACCCGCCCCACCCTCATCAAATTGATTACCAAATAAATTAAAACGTAAAAAATCAAGATAGAAAAATTCCTAGCCATCCCTTCAGCTTTGTTAATTTGAAAAGTAGTGGCAGCAGAGAATCTTAACTCGTGAAGTCCTTCAACTCCATTTTTAAACCAAGGTATGTACAGTGAGAGGAAATTCAAATCTCTTCCAGTTTAATTACCCCATGTTTTTAATTTACGTATAAATAATAAAACTAACTCTACATAACAATATTACCAATGGTAATAATACACTATAGTATTTTCTCTTTTCTCCGACTGTGTAGACTGGCCTCCTGTTAATGCCATAGACCACAAATCACACTATACAGTAGAACCCTGTTCAGAAGAATAACATCAGTGATATGCTTTTTCTTAACATGTAGATCTTGTTGCTGACAATAGAGTATGTACATAATATAAATGAATCCAGCTGTGGAATGATAGGAAATCTGGAGCACTTCTGATATTGCGGATGCGGATTCTGTAGATTTTATGCTGTTGCCGGTATTACTGCTGTTGTTTGTTGTTGTTTGAAAGCGCATACACGTGATACTGCTTTTTGTGAAGTCTTGCTCCTGTGCTATACGGTTGGTCAAACAACCAAAAAAGGCTGGGACATCCCAAGTGGTTTTCTTGATTGAACTCTTAGGTTTTCCTGGAGGTGAAGAAGAAGAAGAAGAAGAAGAAGAAGAAGAAGAAGAAGAAGAAGAGGAGAGAGAAAAAGAAAAAAAAGCACAGAGCATTTTAAACCAAATCACACACATCAAACACATAAATGTAAGACTTTGGAAGTGGAGTGGTGTCTGCAATACACACTGCTTGCACTGATGCCTCAGGGGAGTCTCGGTAATCAAATAGTGTCCATGCAACTCAAATAGTGACAGTCATACTGCTGCAAGTGTATGCACGTTCTTAGAAAATAGTTTGTCATCTCTTTTGGCAGGCAAATTAATTCAGAACATGCACAGCAGGAATTCTGGTGGGGATAACTATAACCTCCAAGTTTTTAGAAAACAGTTGGAGCTCATTTTACATTTATTCTAATGATATTCATAACCATGTCATTCACCAAACTGTAGTTTCTCAGGGAGGTAAGAGTATTCAAATCATCCATTTGTGATGCAGGTTGCTGCAAACAGGGCATCTGCAGGTACCAGAACAATCTATTTGTGACATTTTAAGACCTTATTCCAGTTTATCTAAATAGAACAATTTAACAAAAATGTGAATCATCTGTCCCTTATAAATATTGACTAAATTAAAAACTCCTTAACAAGCAGTCATTAATCCTCAAACTTTGTTCAAACCTTCTTAAATTTCTATAAACTATAATTCTGATTTATTTCTGATGATCAATATCTAACCTTTTCAAACTTGGTCAGTGAACTGCAGAAACCCTGCATAAGTCACTTACTGTGTGTTTTTGGTTATTAGAAATGTTAAGTGGACATTATTTGAATACTATAACACTTTGAGTATTTTTTGGTGTTGCATATCATGGTTTTGAAGTCCCAGAATTCCTACAGAGGAATGCACATCCTCAGCCAGCAGCACGTGTCACAGGAACCAAACAGCTTTACCCAAAACCTTTTAAAGTAAGGTTAGTGTCTCAGTTGGTACAACACACACACACACACACACACACACACACACACACACACACACACACACACACACGTACATGAATATTTTTAATACAAAACACGGATATATAAATGCACACACCATCTCGTTGTCTTACACTCGGGCCTCCCACGAATGCACCATCATTCACACACAAACACTATGTTGTCAACCATTTACAGGGGCACGTTCAGTACATTTCCAATCTCACAAAAAAACAACAAAGTTCAGGCACAAAGTCACTTGGAATTGAGTTACAACCAAACAAAAACCCCGCACTCACCGAAAACTACCACACCAACCAACTAAACAGAGGGAATATGTAAGAATGATAATCATGACAGACAAAAAGGAAACTAATCAAAAACCAAAAAGTCTAAAAGGAAAAAATAAATCTAATGTATCCATAATTGATGGACATCAGGCTAATTTAGCTCTTAGCACTGAAGCTTTTAGAGGTCTTGGGAAAAAAAAACAGCATGTCATGATAATCAATTACTTACAAATGCTGAGGTAAAGTGACAGTTATTGATCAGTGTTTGCAAGGAATAAAACCAGGACAAAATAATAAGAGGAAACTCACAACGCACCAAACACAGTTCATGGTCGCCACAGTAACCCGCCATGCAGTTGGAGCATGGTGAATCAAGGCAACGGCCCAAAATAAAAAATCGCTAATGGCAACCATCACAGGCAATATCGCCACAGCAACCAACACAGGCCAATTAACTTACAACGCAGTGAGAAGGAAGGGGGGGAGGTTTTAGCGGTTGCTAGGCAACCGTAGCCATAGCGACGCACATCTCCACGATATATGTATGGACGGGACAGTCTTGAGAGTGGTGTGATGTTTTTTCGGGAAAAATGGCATATGGCACAGCACAAAAACAATAAACGAAAAGTAAAACAAAAATTAATGACGAACAGTAGTTGGCATTCAACCCTGCGATAGAACACTGGTTAGACAGAACATTTGAACCGAGTGAAAGTCTACTTCTCAATCAAACTGTCCCTCGACATACTGAGCACACAATGTATTTCAAATTGATGAGTGCTGCCACCTCATTAAAGTTAATCTACTGTAGGGTTATTGACTTCTTCAGTTCCACATGAAAGACGGCCATTTAAGCACTGAGCCCCCCAATTACATCCACTCTGTCTCTTTAACTTCCAGTCATATTTTCGGCTGTCTATCAATCCATTCCCGAGCCCGCCCCATCTCCTCAAGCATGTCAATAGACAATAACTAACCTCCTTCAGTAAGGCCTGTTGGCATCCTTGGGCCTCTTCAGTTGCACCTTCAGTCTCTTCATGCCGATCTGGAAGCCGTTCATGGCCTGGATGGCAGTCTGGGCGCTGGATGGGTTGTCAAAACTTACAAAACCTGAGGGGGAAGTAACAGGATGAAGGAATCAAACACAAACATTCGCCAACAGCAGTAGCATTTATAGGGAAGAAAGAGGGGAAAGTAGATGAAGCTAAAATGATCTGAAAACACGTCTTTCTTTACATAAGAAAGAACGTTTCAGCCATGCCAGTGACTCACCAAAGCATTTACTCTGGTTGGTGGCGCGGTCCACAAACACCTTTGCAGAGATGACGTTTCCGAAGGGAAGGAACATCTGCAGTATCTCAGAGTCAGTGAACTCCTGTGGCAGGTGGTAGATGAAGATGTTACAGCCCTCTGGACCTGTACACAAATAGAGCCGCGACGACACAGACGTGACATGACACGACAAGACAAGTTAGGCAATCAGTGAGTTCGTGTGAGTAACACAATGTACAACAGTAATAATACATTTTGGTCTCTGGGACATCGTGATGGACATTTTATACGCTAAACAGTAACAAAATAATCAAAATAATACTGTATAGTTTGGTCAGTAATGGAAATAATCAGTAGTTGCAGTCTTTATCTTCACTGTGGTAAATGGCATCATTCAAATGAGTTGTAAAAGTCTGCTAATACATTTTCATATCATGAAAACCACGAATGAAAACTAACAGATACCTAGAAAGGTTAGCTGTGACATTAAGCATGTGTGTGTGATTTGTGGTGAATGGGCTAAAACATGCCAAACCACTGGAATGTTTCTCTAAGATATGAATATTTGTGCACAGCTCTTTGAGTTTACCTTCTCGTTGCTGCAGCTGCTGCGGCTGCTGCGGCTGCTGCGGCTGCTGCGGCTGCTGCTGAGCCACCAGCGTGGGCTGGTGGGGGAACGGCTGTCCCACCAGGCTGTAGGCAGCAGGGTAGGTGGCTGATGGGGGAGGAGGAACAGGTGAGCAGAGAGCAGCGGTGAAGCATGATAGAGACTGCAAACTAATCAGTTTCTCCTCAAAACAACATCTGACAGAGCTGCATTCCCACCTACAGATTTGCTGAAAACGCGGCGATGCTTTTGCATTTAGTTTGTGACTCACAGAGAGGGCTGCAGGTATTTACAATTTGTAATATATGTGCATGTTTTGACTTTGGATGTCAATTTCTACTTTACACATGCCGTGTTGGGTAATGTAGCCGCATCCCATTATGTTACATAAAACTGTTTTGCATTCTGGTTACACTGACTGGAAGGATATTTCTACGAATCAAAATCTGAAGTCCAGTCAAACTTTATGTGAAATGTATATTTGTGAGATTATTTTTTATTTAATTTTTTTCTCCGACAAACATTGATACTCCAAAAAAGATATGCAAACTTATTATCAGTAGCAGCAGTAAGGCAAGTATATAGCGATACATTCATATGAATAAATGGTAATTTATGTCACATTTTATGGCGCTACATCGGACACATCTAACACTGAGACAGTGAGGCTCACCTGTATAGTGCTGCATGCCTGTATAAGCTTGCTGCATGGGGTCCAGGACAGGACTCTGAGCTGTGGCAGAGTAAACACATCGTCAACAACTGCTATATGCACACACAAAAAAATCCTGAATGCTATTTGGGGCACATCAGCACGCTCCAAATAACATTTAGTGCTTTAATTTAATCTCCTCTTGATTAGGCCCTCGCGGTTGCACATCAAAACGGGAAGCCTGTGAATTTGTGGATGAATATAATTTTCACAGCAACACAGTTGTTCTCTACTTTCTTGTGTAGCTGCTGTTAAGGACGTTGTGGCTATACCTTGATAGGCATGAACGCCATTGGTGTACAGGGCCTCGGTTGCTGATTGGCCGTTGGACAGAGTTGGAAGCGAGGCGTAGCTGTTCAATGTGAGCGGTGGAGGCAGAGCAGGAAGAGGTGTGCCTGCCATGGAGGGTGGAGTGTTGGTACCTGGAGACATTTTATTTTTATTCAAATAAATCCAATCAACAGCAGGAATACGGAATTAAAAACAAGACAAAGAGGAGATTTGTGCTGGGTATCAATAGATTTGTCAATCAACAGAAAATTATTTGACTTCCATTTTGTTTGTTTCTTTAGTCATTTATTAAATTCAAGTCAAGCGAATTTATTTATTTAGCCCAATATCACAAATGTGCCTAAAGGAGCTTTACAATCTGTACAGCATATGACACCCTCTGTCCTTTAACCCATTGAACCAGAAAAGGAAAAAACTGAACTTGGGAAAAAAGAAAGAAACCTCTGGAAGAGCAACTGAGGAGGGATCCCTCTCCCACGATGAACAGATGTGCAATAGACAAAAACATAGAATGTAAACATGTATGAAGAAAAACTAAGCTCTAACAAGAGTAAGAGTTCACAGCCAGGCGAGCGGCTCTGAGAGGGCTGCACTTTGGCACAGCGGTGCTTTGAGCTAAATGCTAGCATCAGCATGCTAATTTGCTCACAATGACGAGGCTGACATGCTGACGTTAAAGGTACCCCGTGGAGGTTTTGACCTATAGTAGTGCTATGAAGCATATTTTTTTTAATGATGCTCGCGAGAGTAGTGATACGCATTCCTGCCAACGGTTTCACACGACACCACCGAGCTACAGGTGGCTGTAATGCAAAGAAACAAACTAGTAAACATGGATGCAAACAATGCAGGATTTAAAAAAATTCTCTATCAATCAACTTTGCAAATGTTTTATAAGAGAGGAAATGCATTCAACACTATATTTGTAGACCTAAAGGAGACAACACGGTGCGTTGTGGTGAGTAACATTCACTCTCAATATAACTTCTGCTTGTTTACAAAAAAGAAACTCCACAGGGTGCAGGTGATGTTTACTCTGATCATCATCTTAGTTCAACATGCTAACATTTGCTAAAATACAGCCAAAGCAAGGTATTTGGTCATGAATCACAAGATTGGACACACTAAAATTTGACCTGATGATGGCACTAAATTAATTAGCTAAGGGATCACCAAAGTTATTACAATTCATCCTGAGGGGGACATCAATGTCTGTACTTTTGCTGTTTACAGTTTCATTAGTTAAAAGTTGCTGCTTATGTCTGTTTCATATCATACTAAATTGAGTACTGAGTTGTTTTTCCAAACTCTCAGATATCAACATTGGCATCGCCAGTGTTAATCTGGCTATAATACAGACTATCCAAGTACTTGCAGGATGCAGGTACTCTAACTCATTTACCGTTTTACTGCCTTTTCCACATTAAACGTAAAACCTGACATGGCTAACATCATGGCAGACTGAGGAAGAAGAAAAAAAACTACAAAATAGATGTTTGTTATTTTGTCCTCTTAGGTCCACCTCTCTTTGTGTAGCTGCACTCATATTTCAGGCAGAAATCTAATCAGGGCCGAACGGGCCCAGACATCACTGCCTCTCATTACCTGAGGAGGGGGTGATGGATGAGAGCGGCGTGGCAATGATGCTGCTGGGGTTGAGGGCGGCGAGTTGCTGCATCTGAACCGCCGCCACGGTGGCAACAGGAGAGAGGTAGGCCGACTGCGCCACCAGGGCCTGCTGCTGCATCAACTGGAGGCCGGAGAGAGAGAGAGAGAGAGAGAGAGGTTGTGTTAGAGAGGAGGGGAGAGAGGGAGTCAGGTTATTGTGTGTTTAGAGTAAGGAGAATGATGTGAAGGATCTGACAGTGTTTCTTTGTGTGCAGAGTGCAGACTTTAGGTGTGTGTTCCCTGAGTGTAATCTCAGGCTTATAAAGTAGAGAAACTAAACCAGGAGACTTTACACATCCAACACATTGTGAAAAGGCTCAACTTCAGACATTTAGTGAGTGATTTCTGTAGATTACAATTGCAGATGGACACACTTTGTTCACATTTACGTTATTAACTAGTCATAAAAGTCGAACATATTTAATATAGTTACAATGGCTCCCATCTGAACCTCAATCAGGAGTCAATATATTTCAAGGCCTCAGCTCTGTATACGCTGCGGCTGCAACATAACACAGACGGACAAATTGTCCTTGGTGACTCGTTTTTTCAGACCTGACCAGACGCTTCATGCTATTCCTAATCAGTCAGTGTGCTGAATCAGGTTAGAATTGGTATTAATTGGTAAATAGTTTCAGATGGCAATTTTATTTGGGGTTTTAGTTTAGCTTTTTATTGAAGAAAAGAATGTCGCTATAAATCAACACATCCATTACAGGTAAAAAAAAAAAAAAAAAAGAAAGAAAAAAGCGTTGTCAGGCCTCCTTAAGCATCACAAACTGAACGACTGTAAATGAGCCAAATCTGAAACCATTTGCAGTAAACGGTCAATTAACAACGGGAGCAGTAATGTGGCTTCACTAGAAATCTTTCCTGTTAAAATCCTCTTGTATGACATTAAAACGCTTCTATTAGAATCAGATGGAACACACTGAGGAAAGTTTGCTCTCCAGAACATTCTGTAGATTTTGAGTCAAATATTTTTTACTTTTTATTTTTACATCAGCTCTTACTGCAGTACTGGACTAATCTTCAATCGCGTAATTGTTCTTCACAGACAACCAGTAGGCACAAAGAACATGAAACGTTGTTTTCTCTGTGTTTCATTGTGGATACTCACAGCCTGCGTGTAAGCGTTGTAGGCCCCGAGGTGCAGGGTCATGGGACTGATGACTCCCAGCTGAGAGGCCACCTGCTGCATCCGCCGGAGACCTCGCTCCTTCTCTGAGTCGGCAAACTTCACCACCAGGCTGGACGAGGCGCCCTGCGGAGGAAATGGGACACTTCAATATAACTGGACATCCTGGTGGTCTAAGGATCAAGACAATCACTGCATCCTGGTTCCAACCTTTGTTGAAAGTCATTTTTCTCCTCTGTCTCCTCTCATTTCTTATCGGTTCTGTACTGTCTGTTTACTGTTTTAATAATTCCTGTTTTTACTGAATTAAATATATTAGTTAGACGTGTGTGTGTGTGTGTGTGTGTGTGTGTGTGTGTGTGTGTGTGTG